TTCCGTGCTGTGTATAAAGTGCAAATTGTGGATTTTTCCCCCAAATCCTGCCCCGAGCCCGCGCTGATTAAAGAGCTGTGACAGGAGCTGGGTGCTGTGGTCCGTGCCGGGGGGCGACGGCGCCTGCCCTGTCCCCACCCCCCGCCCTCCGTCCGGGCGTCCGGCTCGGCCCTCCCTTCCTTTTATTCCCCTTCAGATTATTTCCCGTCGAGATTATTTGCATTTAGTTGATTTATAGTCAGATAATTTCTTTTCAGTGTCTTTGTATTCAGATTATTTCACCATTTTTATTATAATCGTCTTTCTATTCAGACTATTTAGTTCAGATTATTTAATTCAGATTATTTCTATTCAGATTATTTAATTCAGATTTTTTAATTCAGACTATTTATATTCAGATTATTTAATTCCGATTCTTTATATTCGGATTCTTTCTCATCCAATCATTTAATTTGAATTATTTCCAATCAGATTATTTACATTTATCTAATTTATAGTCAGATAACTTCTTTTCAATTTCTTTGTATTCAGATTATTTCATCATTTTTATTATAATCGTCTTTCTATTCAGATTATTTAGTTCAGATTATTTCTATTCAGATTATTTAATTCAGATTCTTTAATTCAGACTATTTATATTCAGATTATTTAATTCAGATTCTTTAATTCAGATTCTTTATAGTCAGATTCTTTCTAGTACAATCATTTAATTCGAATTATTTCCAATCAAATTATTTACATTTGTCTAATTTATAGTCAGATAATTTCTTTTCAATTTCTTTGTATTCAGAGTATTTCATCATTTTTATTATAATTGTTAATATTCAGATTATTTAATTCAGATTCTTTAATTCAGACTATTTATATTCAGATTCTTTCTAGTCCAATCATTTCGTTCAGATTATTTCCAATCGGATTATTTACTTTTATCTAATTTATAGTCAGGTAATTTCAATTTATTTGTATTCAGATTATTTTATATTTTTTGTTATAATCGTATTTATATTCAGATTCTGTGGATTCCAGTCAATTAGTTCAGATTCTTTCTATTCGAATCATTTCATTCGGATTATTTCTGATCGGATTATTTACATTTATCTAATTTATAGTCAGGTAATTCCTTTTCAATTTATTTGTATTTGGATTATTTCATATTTTTTATTGATTGTATTTATATTCCGTTTATTTTTTTCAGATTATTTATATTTAGATTCTTTCTATTCCAATCTCTTAATTCAGATTATTTCCAATTGGATTATTTACGTTCATTTTATTTATATTCAGATAATTTCTTTGCAATTTATTTATCTTCAGATTATTTCTGTTCGGGTTACTTAATTCAGATTCTTTTTATTCAGATTATTTCTAGTCAGACACTTTATTTTCAGTTTATTCATATGCAGATTATTTATTTTCATTTTATTTACGTTCACGTTATTTCGATTCATCTTAACTTATATTCACATTATTTTTTTAAGCTTATTTATATTCACATTATTTCGATTCATCTTATTTATATTCCGATTCTTTCATGCAGATTATTTCTATTGAGCTTACTTAGATTCGGAGAGTTTTTTAGATTTATTGACGTTCATCTTCTTTATTTTTCTTTTACTGATTTATATTCAGATAACGAATATTCAGCTGGTGCCCCCC